TGATTCATAAAATTTTACTAATTTATACTAACAAAATGCACTAAGTAAACTTGTTTAGCACCAAAAAATACATATAAATATATTTGAACTTAGACTAGTTTGCAGACTTCGGACCAGACCCAGACCAAACTTAGACTTGACTAAAATGTCTAAATATAAAAGTCTAAGTCTGGTCTGAAAATCAAACCAAACTCAGACTTGACTAAAGTAGGACCTGGACATCTCTCATATAGGTTATAACTGGATTTTGGCCAATTTTGACCTAATTTGCTGAAAATGACAAAATTTATTTATTTAAATAACTTTTGATTCAGTAATCAGAATCGAATGAACTTTTTTTTGTTAGATACGCCTTACTGATAGCTTCATTTTAAAAAAAGTTCATTCAAATTGGACTACTGGATGCCAAGATAATTGCCAAAAACTGATTTTTTGCTTTTCAAATTTTGGGGGTTTTTGCTGAAATGCGTAACGTATGATCTCTGTACTACATGTCCGGGGTCCTACTAAAGTCTGGTTCGAGTTCAGTTTGTAGAAGCACTACTTGTACCCATAAAAACCAAACCTTTTTTATGAAAATTTTAATATAAACTAAAAAGAACTTGTAAGCAAATCATAAGACAGTATCTATTATTTAAAAATAAAGGCCATAGACTATCTGCTAGTAGCTTCAGAGTTTATCACTTACTGCAGGAACAGCACTTGTTATTTAGAGGCAAAGTTCGTAAACTGCTGTTAACAAGCATTTAGCTTCTAAAAGGAATAGTAAGGAAATATTAGTTTTTTATAAAAAAGTAACTACACTTGTCTTTTGAAATTTTGACAAAGTGGGCTTTTTGGTTTACTTCCTTCAAAAAATCGACAACATTAAATTATCCAAATGGAAATATGGCTGCCATATTGGAATCAAATTATAAGTAGATTTCAGGTCTATCAAAAAAAAAGCAAGAAATGAATATATAGTATTTTGAAAGAGTAGAACTTTTTGTTAGTTTTTTTTTAGCTATAGTCTGTTTTTTCTTTTGTATATATACATATAATACTTTGGCAGAGTTTTTTTCTGTACAGTATTACAAGTTACTCTCATTATAGTGAACTCTCGATATAGTAAAGACTAATTAAAATCTCGATATAGTGAAGTTGGACCCAAAGCCAGTCTATATAAAATTTTTTCGATATAGTGAATTTACTAATAAACTCTCGATATAGAGAATTTTTAAAAAATTTTTATTAATAGAACCGACCATTTCACTATAACGAGTTTGACTTGTATTATTATTTGGTGTATCTGTTATAAAGCTCTTTGATAGAAATTTTTTCTTTTTTTTTTACCTTTTTTTTTCTTTTTGGATTGTTTTTTGGTTTTTTTTTTTAGTTATTTACTATCCATTTCCTTCTTTTTTATATTATCCTTTTAGTTATATTATTATTTTCTCATCTTCTATTGAAGTTTATTCTATTTTGGTATAGAATATGCTTTTTATAGTACAGTAGTTTAATAGAGCAATCCTAGCAACTTTTTTTTTACTAGTACGGCAGGTTGCATTTGGGCATCTAGTCTACGGATAGCAAACAAATGATGTTAGACTACTGTATATGTTCGAAAATAAGCTACAGCTCTGATTTTTTTTTAAATTTTAAAAAATTTATTAGCAGTTGCTACATATAAAAGTCTAAATTTTACTAAGTAAACCTCAAAAAGTTAATTAAGTAAATTTGTTCAAGATATTAAAATACACTTATAGTAAAAATTTAGTATTATTTGGACAACTTTTTATTGGTATGTCTTTCAATTTTTTTAAAAAACAATATTTTTTTCGAAAATAAGCTACTTTACGATTGTTCATATAATTTTTTGGCCAAAAAAGGTAGCTTAATTTCGGACACATATAGTATTAAATTAGTAGTAAACAAATGTATATCTGAGCATTTTGTTCAGTTATATATTTAGTATATTAATAAAGTACTAGTAAAACCATCTAAAATAGAAAAAAAATTATTAATTTAAAAATTGAATACTTAATAGATTTTTGTATATAAAAAAAATTAAGCTATTAATTTTTTTAAATTTTTAATGCATTTTTTAAAATGTACTAAATCTAGTACAAAAGAGTAAATCCAATTTATTATTAAAGTTAAAAAAAAGCTATTAAATTACTTTAGTTTTGAGCAAGTTATTAATTATCATAATTATTAAACCTAATTTAATGATCTTTTTTTTATTTGAATTTTACAAATCTGCAAAATTCAAATAAAAAAAATATCAAAATTTGGTCCAGTAGTTGTCAGGATATTTTTGCTCAAAGTCAAAAAAACTTTAATTTTGCAAGGGGTATAAGTTAAATATTGTACCAAAAGTTTTATAATTTTTTAATATATAGATTCAAGTTTATAATAATTTTATGAAGTTTGCTATTTATCGCCAGTAGTGATCATAACAATATATATTTTATATCTTTAAATTTTGTCTATGAAATCACCTTTGAGGCTCTAACAAAAAAAATTTCTTGTAAAATTTTGGTATAAACTATGCCCCCTGCCCCATCCCAGTTCTTACCCTAACCCTAATATTAATCAAATTTTAATTTTTATTTTGGCAAAAAACTTTTTATTTTTGTTAATCACTGGTGATGATCACCACTGGCAATAAGTAGTAATTTTCTAATTTTATATATAAAACATAACCGCGAAATAACGCGTAGGGGTGTAATTTTAATTCGGGCCGAAATTCGAAATAACGTTATTTCGCGGTAATAAAAGGCAAAATCACGTGGGGTTATATTTAAAGCCGAGGCACAACGTTCGGCGATATTCTAACGTTAAGTAAACCGGAGATGGGGTATAATGGTTGGGGTTTGTGTGATGTTCACGTTCATAAAAGGACAAGTTAAAGTGATGAACAGTGCACCGACCAAGAGACCGAAGAAAATTTTCATTGTATTACAAATGAATAACCAGTAATTTGCTTAGATCCTTTTATAAAAAGTGATTTGTTTATTCTAATTGCCACGTATCAAAAAATTATACCTGTTTTTATACAGTATCATATTATACCAGGCCCGCTTTTACTCAACGAATGTCGCCCGGTCATAACATTAACGATAACCCAACGACAAATTCCAATATGAATTCCTACATAGTACATGTGGGAGAACAAACTTTTAGTTTATTGCGTTCTTCAATAACCTATGACTCACCAAATCTTTTTTCTTATACTTTTCTCCGTGAAGAAGCGAATTCGGGAGATGCGGAAACAAACAATTCCGCTGAAGCAGACTCGTTCGTTAGCGGTTCGGACGGCCCCGGAAAAGACAATGATCCGTCCGCTGTCGTCGAGAATCCAACTGCACATAAGGGAAAGTCGGGCACTCATACACAAAATTATTTTTCGTCGAATTCTTCTATTACAATTGACAGAGATCCTAAGCTATTTGAAATCATTTTGAGATATCTTCGGGGTTATAATATATTTCCGCTTTCCTCAGTCAATTTACCACCAGGCATGTCTCTTGACCTCTTTCGAGAAAGTTTATTAGAGGACGCACGGTTTTATCGTTTAGACCGACTCGCACAACTTCTTCAAGCTGAGACGCCTACACCTTTATGTTATAAGGATCCATTCACATCAGCAGAGAAGATCCTTTTATCCCTTCGCGATGTGCCGATTCACAAAGAAATCATCAAACCAAAGCTCGATGGATCATCTACTATTGAATTCTTTACCGGAGCGGTGCTTACTATTGAACTTGAACCATCAGATTCTTCTTCGGATGTTTCTATACGGTTTCATACAAAATTTTTAAACGAGCAAGATCAAAAAGCTTTGGAGACATTGGGAGAAATTTGTGGAGAAAATTCACAAATTCAATTTTCAAGACAGCTTTATGCTAATATGCAAGATACGCTGAATGGCATACGATTAGAAATTGATGGGGTGCAGGTCACTGGTATGGACATTGCTTCCATAGGATCTTATAATCAGAGTACTCAGAGGGTCAAGGCGTTAGAAGATATGTTTAGGATTTCAGGAGGCCAACGTTTAGTTATATATGCGCAAGAGTTTGTTTTTAGATTGGATCGAATTCAACCTTATACTACTGATGGCAACCAAATAAGTTCAGATACTATTGATAATAATCAGAACTGTGACAATCTCAATGGTGTGATCCCTTCGGACAGCAATGGAGTAGAATTAACTGTCAGAAATGGTCAAGAAGACATTGAACGTCCTAACGATAATGCTAATAGAACAAACACAGTCGAAGAAGTGGATGATCACAGTCATAGCGAAGAGAGCAACGTTAGTAGTGTAACGAATGCAAACGAAGGTAATATGGTGTATCTTGGCGTTGTATGGGCTAAAGGTTGGACACAAGAATGGTGGGCATGGAATGAGTATAGAATGAAATTAGATGCTCTCCAATGATATGGTAAAGGAAATTGGATAAAATTGATTGAATATAATCAATACATATATTAACTTTGTATTTACGACCTATTTTATAGTCAAAAAAATTTGGATACTTTATTATTGTTATGATATTTTTATTATACTACTCATTCATTTATCAATTGTTATTTTCTTTCTTTTGCATACACGACTTACGATTAAAAAAAAGTATGATTCTTCGTATCGTAATAAAAAAAAAAAAAAAAACAAAAAAAAAACAACGTCAAATCATGTCAGAAATATATAATTGAAAAATTTATTTATCATACACTACATATACATAATTTGTTTTAAAAAAACTTTTAAATAACTATCGAAATTATGGTGATATATAATTATAACGATAAAGATGTTAAAGGGTACTTACGTTACACGACATAATTCTCAAGGAAACTTATAGTGGCGTGAGTTCCTTTAATTGTCACCTCTATATTAATCTATAACTTTATTAAATAAAAAAAATATAATAACGATTATGATAATTCTGATTTTCGCATATAATCTTTATTAAAAGTCCCGAAAGAACACGAAAAAAAATGAAAGTGTAGAAGGGCTTGGCCGGGAATTGAACCCGGGACCTCTCGCACCCTAAGCGAGAATCATGCCACTAGACCACCAAGCCAAGACTATGATAATTTTTCTTAATAATATATTAATAAATTAAAAGAAAAGTAAGGAGATCAGGTGACTTTACTATCTGCTATAGTAACCAAACGCTCGTATTTAACGTAACTTCTCAATTAGCTCTAACATTTTAAAATATATATACAGGTAAGTTAAATTTAATTTAAAAGAAATTACATTAAGAGACTACTCTAGTCACGACTCTTTGTAGGATAAACGCAGCATATATTACGGGACTAACACGAGTTGATTATCTTCCAATTGCCAGTACTTCATTTTTATATTTTATTTTTTGATCTGTTGCAACGACATTATAAGATAATTACTTCTCTGTCAATATTCATGTGCGTATCAGTTCTCAATGACAATCGCCACTCGAATCGCTCTGATTCAGAATCGGGCTGTCCCAGGTAAATTATTTTTTAGGGGTAGAGATAGCTACCCCAGTATGACCACGAATGGTAACTCAACTAAGAAATCAAGTAATTTTACTATGATCAGATTTTAATCGGTGAAATTAAAATAATCGATTAAAAATATCATATTACTTTATTTAATTATAAAGAACGAACAAATTTCTAAAGGGTGCGCCTTGGCATTGCACTTCTTTTTCTAATTTTTTTTAACTGAAAACTCTTCGCAAAGACCATATCTAAAAGGTTACGTTCGATTTTTTGTGACAATTCTAGTAAATTTCGACTTGTACATTTAAAATACGAATTTTTTCATGAAATTTGGATGTTCTATAAGACGAAGTTTCAAAATTTATATATTAATAGAAATTCTAAAACGTAATTTTATTCTCCAACATTCAATAAGTTGTGAAAATTTCAAAGTAATTCATTGGGTTTTCAATAAGTTGCACCGTTTTAAAGTAATTATGATATCGATATGTAATAAAGCAGTAATTAACGTTAGAGTACATTTATTCCTCACACGGGGTGAGATTTGATATTCCTCATCCACATTATGCTATCTCAAAATTCTACTAGGGTAACCCCTGCCACATTTTAACAAAAATGCTCCTCTCGCGATCATAGCTTAATTAGCAATTCATGTAAGAACAAGACAAAAGTCGGGGATGAGTATTTATATAGTTTTAATAGTAATATGGAATCCAATTTCCCAAAATTATATAGTAAAAAGACGTGTTTTTTTAAAATTCAAAATTTTAGCTCTTAGTAAAGTACCTTTTATTTTTAGAAAATTCTACCGGACTTTTAATAAAAAGAAAGACAAATACCATATTTTTATGCCTATATAGTTTAATTTTATATTATATTTAAACTATTAATACTTTATATTGTAGGCAAACTGGATTCCAACATTCGAAATGTTATAGTAAATTTGCTTATTTTTATTATATAAAATTTTATAAATTGTCCTGTTCTTACTCTAATCCTAACTCTAGCTCTAACCCTAACCTAATATAACTAGGGTTTTATTTTTATTTGAGGAGGGGGGTGAAAAATTCACCTGAGTGATGAATTGATTTTCATTTATGTAATGTGCTTGATTTATTTAATTGAGTTACTATTGGTGAAACTACCATAAAATTCGGACATGGGTACCCCTGTGCAGTGTACCCCTTGCCAGTTTGAGAGGCCCAATGGTGACTTATACCCGGGGTACATAAGTATAGTATATATAGTAAAATATATTGTTTCATATAGTATAGAAGTACCCAGGTACAGAAAATTCAAATATTTGAAAACTCTTCCCGCTGATCCTCTGTACACAAACAGTTCTAGAAAAATTTTTTAAAAAACAGCAGAAAACACATAGATAGGCTTTAAGAAACACACAAAAAGTGATTAAAGAAGAAGAAAGGTTAGAAAAAACCACTTAGGGTTACTTAATATAAAAATATTCTGGCACGCCAAGAAGCTTAGAAAACACAAACTTTCTAAAGACTTTACGAGTCAGCCTAAAACTAAGGAAAACTGGGAAATTTGGCTAGACCCTGTACCACCGATCACTAGGTCCAAAACCAGAAGCAAACAAGTAAACAAACAAACACGTATACGAATCAGGTCTAGGGCACCTACAGCAAAACAACAAGTCGCGAACCGGTTACTATTATTACAAAGTAGTCACGTGTCGCTTGCAGGAATTAGAACATCGAAAACAGAAAGTTCGAATCAGGATCGACAGCATAATCAGAATCTACATAAGCAGAACATCATGGAATTTTTGAACAAATTTAAGGATCTTTTTAAAAGACCAGAAAGTGAAATAATCGAAATCACTATGAGTCAAGAAAAACTCGTCCTGGAAAGAGACAAATAGAGTTCCTCAAATTCAAATCAAATCAAATATTGGATCAATTTGAATTTGATCAAATCAAATTGACCCTGATTTGAATTTGATTTGATTCAAATATTTGAATTTGAATTTGAATTTGATCAAATATTTGATTCAAATATTTGAAGATCAAATCAAATTGCGGAACTCTAGAGACAAACAAGTCGCTAACCTACTTGGCATTACATACCCAGGTACAGTTTATATTATTAGGCGGGCCTGCGAAATTATGGAATGGAAACAACTCGGAATTATGCAAGAAGAAAAACAACCAGTTGAGTTCAAAACAGAAAGCTTGGAAAAAAAATAGAGATACCTGAATTCAAAAGTGTCATAAGTAAAATTGCGCTAACAATACAAGAAGGAGGTCATTTAGACTACGGCATAGAGGATTTGGAAAGACAAATCTCAAACATAATTAAAACGTCGATAGAAGTGAAAAAGAGTGGAATTTATCAACTCAGTAAAAGAAATGAGACTGAGTCAACGCAAGATCGTGGAGAAAGGGTGCTCGCAGTGAACTCATGCGGAAAAGAAGTGAAGGCATCTATAAAGGATGATCAGAACACAAGCAAAGGCGATACCACACAAGATTATGATACAAGCGTGAATGAAAGCTTGCTGCCCAATGAACAGACAGAGACGATACAAGAGTACACTTTATGGGACATTCCATCATACTACACTACAAAAGAAGTTACTAGTGTGTTGAGAAAGTACAGAAAGATAAAGTGAAAGGGTAGAATATTAAAGCAAAAAACAAGACGGTAATAGTCTCAATTCAGTTTCACAGCAAGGAAGAAAGAAACTGGCTCAAAAACATGTGGGTGATCCCTACATCTAATGGAAAAGTGTCAAGAATAACAAAAGGAGAAAATCGTCTCGAAATTTTAGCAGAAAGAGCCAAATTTAAAGCCACACTTAAAAATCTGCCATATCATGCACAGGAAATACTCCTACTCTGTCAACTCAAGAGACTTGGAGGTATGGCAGTGCATATTCCAATCAATAGTAATAGTAACCCAAAGAGTTTGGCAACGGTATACTTCAAATCAGCTGAGGAGAAAGTTAAAGCTACAAAGTGTGGTATCAGCTACTATAATACAAAGCTGTTATGGAAATCAGAAAGCAACTCAAGTAACAATAATCCAGAAGAGAACTTTACAAGTGAAAACAGTAGCAGTCCCAAAGTTGAAGAAAGAAACTTCAAAGGAAAGCAGCTGACTAAACGTCCGAATGGCAATGATAGAAAGAGAAGGGAAAGTAAAACAAGAGGATGAGAACAGAAAAGAGAAACTCACAAGGAACCTAATACAATGAAAGCAGGAAAGCTAGTAGATGCGAACCTTGACCAAACAAGTCTCCTCGAAGAAATTCTAAAAAGGCTTTCAGCAATAGAGAAAAGATATTTTAAAAAAGAGGCCCCAATCGCTCCTGAGAGGCGCCATAGATGTCACTACAAACACAGAAGTGCTGCAGTATAAAAGTAGCACAGAAGAAGGTGATGTGGAGAAAGGGGGGCAGTTTGAAGTTTTGAGTGTTGGGACACATAATATTAATGGAATCAAGACAAATAGGGGAAAAATGAACTTTGTAATAGAACATATGGAGGAAACAAAGATAGATATACTAGGTTTGGTAGAAACAAATATATTAGAAAAGGAAGGAAAGATGATGCTTAGAAAGGTTCAAGGTTATCATGGGTTTTGGTCATCTGCAGACGAGGACAAAGTGAAAGAGTCTGGAGTAGGTATAATTATAAATAGCAAGTGGGAAAACCATGTCGCAAAGGTGGAAAAGATCAGTCTGTATATCGTGTCAGTTACAATATTTTTTAAGCGAGTTAGTATTGAAGTCATAACGATATATCAAGCACCGAACGATCACGAATTGGAAGAAAAGATCGTTAAGTACTTAAAAGGAAAGCTCTCCGAAAACAAAGGAAAGCATACGAACCACCAAATAATTATTGGAGATTTTAATCAAACAGCGGAGAATGTGCTTGACAAAAAAGGAAAAGGAAAAGAGATGCCACTTGGAAAAGAAACAAGCAAGCATCTCGAATTGACTATATATGGACAAGTAGTTCATGTAGTGATCAAGTTATGGATAGCAAAATAAAAGACATGACTTGTGTAACAGAAAGTGACCACAATCTAGTCTTGGCAAGGCTAGCAACTGACTTAGAGGAAAAAAGAAGACTAGAACAACAGCTACAAAAGTGAAAAAAAGAAAAAAGGTTGCAGCTGGACCTAGAAATAGTAGAGGAAGAAAATTGGGAAAAATTCTGAGCCGGGTTAGACAAAGACCTACGGGAACAAGACGTAAACAAGAACATAGTTAGAGAAAACCCAGACAAATTATGGGAGGTAATCGAAAAATCGCTAGTTCAGGCAGTAAAGAAATACTTGCCAAGGAAAAAAAAGCGACCCTCAGTTGAGTCATGCAGCCTAGAAACTAGGAGAAAGAAGAGAAAGATATTAGAAAAGACATTAAAATACTGGGCAAAATACAACGAAAGTTAAGAAAACAAGAAAAAGGAAAAACGAAAAGACTAACAACCGAACAAAAGCAGATGTGCATAGAAATAATAGAAAGAAGAGAGCTTGGCAAGCACGAGCACATACAGGTTGAGGGCCTCCTGAGGAAAGAAAGGATTGTAGGGGTTTGAAAAACACTAATTGCGCACTTGAA